GGTCGAAGCGGAGCTCAGGCTAAGACTTAAAGATGACAAGCCATTTAACTTTTCTGTCAACAGGCCCTCATATGCCGAAAGAAGGGAATTGCGCAGCTTATTGGATTCCTTGCTAGAAAAAGGAATAATAAGGTCAAGTGAGTCCGAATACGCCTCTCCTATAATACTTATAAAGAAAAAAACTGGAGACTTACAACTTTGCGTAGATTACCGCGAATTAAACAAATTGTTATTGAAAGACAATTACCCGTTGCCAAATATAGAAGATTTAATTGACTCGCTACAAGGAAAAAAATATTTTTCAAAATTAGATCTTAAAAATGGATTTTACCACGTAAAAATGTCAAAAAGTTCTATTAAATATACTGCTTCTACCACGACATATGGTCAATTTGAATTTTTACAAATGCCATTTGGCCTAAAAGTAGCCCCTTCTAGATTTCAAAGCATATTAATCATGTTTTATCAAAATTAATAAGAGATTCAAAATTGCTGGTATACATGGATGACATCCTTGTCATATCGGATACAATCGAACAACATCTTGAAATAGTATAAGAGCTATTCAAAACATTAGTTGAAAATAAGCTTGAGATAAGAACGGATAAGTGTACGTTCATGTATATGGAATTAGAGTTTATAGGGTACTTAATTTCGGAAGAAGGCATAAAACCCACGAAAGAAGGAGTGAAGTCAGTACAGAAAATTCCAATACCACGAAATATTAAAGAAGTACATAGTTTCGTTGCTTTATGTTCTTATTTCAGAAAGTTCATCCCTTCATTTTCACATATAGCTAAACCTCAGTATAATATGTTAAAGAAAAACTCTAAATTTTGTTTTGGGGCCAATGAATTGTACGCATTTGAGGAATTAAAAAGAAAATTAACAGATGCTCCCGTTTTAGCTATATGTATACAAGGTCCGCCAAAAGTACCGGGACGGTCTAATAACTTTTGAAAGAATTAAATTTTCAAAAATCGCCGAAACACGTGATTCGATTTTTCAAACAAGCTATCTTTTGAGGGGGGATTTCGGCCCCCCCAACCTCAAGGAGGGTGGGGGGCACGAGGGGGGCCAAAAATCTTAAACGGCAACATGGGTCGTGTCCTGCTCTCGGCATCACCCAGAATCAACGACGTGGACGTAGCAGGAAACTGAACCCTTCGGGGTGTTGGATTAAAGTGAATAATCCCCTTGCCTCTCACGTGTGTGTGTGTGTGTGTGTGTGTGTGTGTGTGGTGTGTG